CCTGCTAGTTTTTTTGGCAAAGAACAAATGGCTTCAAATGTGATGTTTGCCAGAGTAGTATTCCTGGATATTTTGTAAAAACAACCTTTCTTCTGGATCAGCGTCATTGCCTCCCACCAACAAGAACAATTTCTTGAGCTGCAATAGCAGACAACATCACACTATAAAACCATCACAGGTAAACCCCCCCAAAAAGACACAGAACATATAAATATCAATGAGCTTATCTGAAAACAAGAGCTAGAATAGTTCACATTCTGAGAGTGGAATACAAATGCCGGATTTTATATGTCGGCTAAAAACTACTTTCAAGAGCACTCGTTCACAAAGTGCAATGTCAAAATATAATATATAGCTTAAAAATCTCAGTGTGAAATTGCCTTTTTTTAAACATGACTATTCTCTATGACATTTAAACTGGTTTCACGGACTGCTCCTGAAATACTCAGAGGAAGTGAAAAGGGCCGAAAGGGGGAAGTGGCTTAAGTTTAAATTTAAACAACTTTACTCCAACCCTGGGAAGAAAATGAACAATGCTTCTTTAGTAGTTGTTTAATTATAGAAATGCCCCCCTCCCCCATACAAGAGAACAAAATACCAGAAAAAAAATTAAATCCTTCATTATACCTAAAAAAAAGGGATACAATACGGATGTCTCCAAAAATAAATGCACTGAGTAATAGGCAGAATTATGCAATTTAATTTATCATCATCCCTGAAAGATTATTCATAACTTTTTAATTCCCTTCTAAAAATAAGAAAGGAACAAAACTCCAGGTATGACCCTCCCCCGTAGCTTTTAAAAAAGGACAAGCAATTTGTAAAACAATCTTCTGAAATGGTTAGCATAAAATACAGAAGCAAAACCTGTCACATCACACCCAAAACAGAGTCAAGCAAGCAAGTTCCTCAGCCCTCTGCAGAGCTGCTCTCCACAGGGAGGAATGCTGCAGGAAAATAAAAAAGGGATGGTAGATAACGAGAAAATTGAAAAGCAAAAACCAAGTTTTGCCAGATTCGGATGGAATTATCCTAAAAGGTTTACATTGATCATCATATAATGTCCTATCCTAATGTGATCATTTGACTGCCAAATTACACATTTAAGACTAATATTATTTTCAGATTCTTATATTGTCATTGATTCTATTTTAAATGGTGGCAAACTTACAGACTTGACGTTTCAAAGACTAGCGTTTTCTGTTCCAAATGCACATTTTGCCCCTTTCATTAAAACGTTTTTCATTTGAGCTCACTCCCTCATCATTTCCCCAGATTTTTAAATTTAAATGATCATATCATAATATTCACAGAGGGAAAAAAAGAGAACATTGGCATATTCCATATATAATCCCTAATGTTGGTAGTAAATGCAGGTCCAAAAAATTGTGTCCATTAGGATATTTAATTTTAGAAGTACTGTCATATGCAAATTTATTTTCAAACAATTTGCATGATTCATATTTCAAGAATAATTTCTAAAATGTGTGACATAAAAGACCTTAGAAAGATTAACAGTCCCTATCAACGGAAAGAGTAGAAATACTAAGCCTGTCACAGAGTTCTGTATATTTTAATAGAAACATCTCGGATCACCAGGCATTTTTCTTAATGAAAATTATTAACACTTAGCTTTCACAATATGCTAGATTAGGTTAACAGAGGTAGAACAGAAACATCTGCTCCAATCCTGTTGTACTGTACATAACGTTCTCGTGATGTCTGAAGTGTTCTCCCCACACAATCCTCTCTCCCCAGTTTTGCACCCCTTGCTACATAAGATGAATGACAGTGACCAAGACTGCACTGTTAAGTGTTGTTAAGGATTAATTGATACGAGATATGCAGCCTATATTTACACTGCAATGTTTCTGTTAGCAGAACACATTTACATTAAATACATTTAAAAAATATGTGGTAGGACAATCAGTTCTGAAATAAAACTAGTCACACCATCTCAAAACGGGGCGGAAATGTAAAGAGATATCATTAGAATAAATGGCTTTTCAGAAAAAAATCCCAATTTGGATCTACAGACATTTTGGATTAGAAGATTATTTCTCTACTTGTTAAAACTGTGGGGCTGGCAAAGAGTTTACCAAGATGACCGCATTACAGGTCCACCACCTTATACCTTCACCTCAGGTTAGCTGCAGGTTTCACAACACAACACAACAGTGAACAAAACGGCAACTGTACTGTCTGACTTTAATTAGTTGTGAATAAAAATTGGCCCAAATTGCATGAAGGACCTTTTCACTACAGACAGTAATGACCAAATCAAACCTGATTTCTGTCTGAATAGTGGTGGCATAGATTTCAATATATTGCTACTATATTTTGATCAAAATGAAAAAAAAAAAGTTAAAAAATACAGCATATTACTCTCTATATTCCATGGTTCCCACTACAAAGGAAATAATGCTCAAAACAAAAATGAACAGTATATGAAATACTGAATTGCTGTTTTCATTACATATAATATACTCTGATTCATTTCAACCCGAAAGAGGATCTTTGTCATTTGTTGAACACAGGAAGAACTGAATGGTTGGAAAAAAAAAAGAACATTGCAATACAGCCCGTTCATATGAAATTCGCTCACGACAAACAGACCCCCTCAGGAACAGCCGAGAAAAAGGAAACTGCAGTTGTGTTGTCACCACATTTATACACTGCAACAGAGATCTTCCACCCTAACCTCAGCCATTCTTGTGCACAGGCTTACATTAAGACTAATAAAGATGTACAGAGAAAAGGATGTAAATTTCATCCTGAAGCCTGACAGTCTATAGTCACTGATCCTCAACACGTAACATGACAGACATTTGTTGTTCCCATTAACATAAAAAGGGAGCCCAGATTTTAACAACTTCCAAAGATAAAGAAAAAAGGATTATAAAAAAGCTTCAGCAAAATGCTTCCATTCAGTTTAAAACAATCTGATTTGGTCGCACGGTACAAAAACCTACAGATTTTGGGGACAGTGTTGAGAGCACGCATGAAGAACAATCCATGTTCATACAGGCAAGACCGCAGATGCTGATACACATCGATGTGCCATAAATTCTAAGACAAAATCTCCCAAAACCATTTCAATATTGTACACATAGCAATGGTCTACATATTTCATTCATTCTCACAAACATCAGCTATTTTTTCCCACACGAATCATTCAACATAGGTTTATCTTACAATTAAACGAATCAAAATGGCATCCCCACAGATCTCGGAAATATTCAGCTTCTTTGTGCCTCCATCTGTGTTCAGAAATATGTACGTGTGTTCTTGTGCACTTCAGAAAATCATAATTGTTTTTTGATCAAAAGCATATGTAATCCCAGAACGCCTTATTTAAAACCAACATTTCCCATGGAATAAATATTTGGCCTTTAACACTGGCTTCAATGGTAAATTCAATATCACATGTTTTAATACCATGGATTATTGTTAATACCGAGTCTGCAGACATGCTGATGTGGAACAAATTTCACCTCAAATGCTTAAATCCAAAATGATGCAGGAAACGAATAAGATGGAATAGAACTCGGCTAAAAACCCACTGTGAACACATTTTAAGGCACCTCCTTTTGGGCTGAGCAATGGTATTTAATTCAGTTGAGCCCCATCTTCCATGAGTCTATGAATGTGAATGCCCTTTGACTAAGATCACTTTCTTACGTGCACCAAACGAAGGTGCGGTACAGTATCGACACCAGCATTGTACGGTAGGGGAACATAGCTGTCTTTTCAAGGAGTGGCAGCTGACCACGGTTTTCCCATCTCCTTGACAAGACCTGGCCGCTATTCGATTGCGGATAGAATCTTTGTGTGATCGCCCGTGCAGTGCTGAGACACTCTGTATGTACAGTGTACAATGAATGGGCAGCCAGGTACTTTATGAATGGAAATGATCATGTGATCGCAGCACCTCCCTGAGCTGATATTTCTCACTGACTGTCAACAAGCACACGCAGCGATGAGCCCATTTATACACCCTGGATTTCCAAGGCGAAATAAAGCCCCAGTGTAAAAACGAAACTTCGGGACGTTAACAAGCAGGGTCCCCTTACATTTGCGCCACAAATTCGGTCGATTTTCGGTGCCGCTTCCTTCTTTTAACATTTTTTATGAATGAAGATTGTGGTATGCAAATGAGTGTGATTGAGAAAAAAATATGGCGTCTTCAGCTTTTTTGAGTCACTGACATTGCAGCAAGCAGAGACATTCTTATTGATAAAAAAAATCGACAATGAAAATAAATGCTCTAATATTATTATCCTTCTCATAAAAAGACTAACATCCCAAAATACATATTAGAAATCCCCGGAATCCAAAACGCCTATTAAATGCGAAATCTTTGGTAGGTGATTTTTCGAAACGTAAAATAGTGAAAGATTATATTTTAGACAGATTTAAAGGACAGGAACAAACGGAAGTTTCTGTTGTCGCAGTTAAATTTAGTTAAATTTTACCGCTCAGAAACGTTTTTTTTTTGCGGTCTTAATCAAGTCTCTATAAAACAAAATCAGCAAATAAGTATTAAATTATATTAGTACTCCCCGAAGCAAATCCAGCAAATCGCTCCGAAGCCTATATTAATACTGTAAAAGGAGTATTTAGCGAACCTGACGAGCTCTACAGATATTAATTGTAAATAAGACGATTAAAAACACCATAAATACCTACCATCTTATGTAAAATAGACATTCGATTTAACTATGTAATATCATCCATTTTCCAAGCGACACCGACAAATTGCATTGATAAGTGTATCATTTAGGGTGCTGTTTATGGTGTTGCATTTTTCTCTCTAGTATCCATGTGTTTTTTTTAAATTAAGTTAGCCACCTAGGTAGTCATCTTAAGCTATAGCCCAGCTATACTCCGGTACTAATGCTGTAGTATGAAGTCCTAAGCTACCCACTGAAACCAGCAATACAAAACCAAGAAATCGAAGAACATTTAACAATAACGCAAAAATAAAAACGCAAACTTACTCGTTGTTTGGATTTGCCGACTCCTCGCTCATTTTTTCTCACCGGGATCCGAATCCTAGCAGTAGCACCGACGACGTAGCCACGGTGAGAAAATTAGCCGCAAATATCACCATTTTCTTTCACACAAAAACGCCAGTTTATTTGGATAACAAAAAGAGGGTTCACAACATAAATTGCATCACAGCGCTGTGCAAGAAACCAAAAGCAACTAAATCGAGCAAGGGAAAAGCAATCGGGTGCTCTTCATATCTCTTCCTGCAGCAAAATCCGACCACCACAACATCAACATCTTCACCATCACCCTCAGCAACGATCAACTAACTCCAGCGCTTTAATAAAACCACAAAACGACAATTTTGGCACGTTATTGGTAGCAAATCCCTCGGCAACTCTGGACACCAGCACAGAGCAGGGCTGTAGGGTTGCTTCGTCGGTGTATAATTCCAACCTTCAGAACTGAAAAAAGTTAAGTTTCTTTTTCTCTTTTCTACAAAAACGAGGCGAAAGAAGCGCTAAAATTCAATGAGAAGTTACAACACATCTGCCTTCCTCGAACTCCATTTTCAACTCGACCGTGCACATAGGAAAACTGGGCGGAAGCGTTGACCTCAGCTCTTGGCTGGATCCTTCCGCGGTAATTTGACAAAATACAACAAAATGGATGTTTTCTGAGCACATTCAAGCCCGCGTGGGTTTTAATTCACACACAACTGAATTTAAAAAAAATAAATATTCGTCCCGTGAGGGTTTGTGGTCAGGCTGCGTTGTTTTCCCAAAGTTGCCACAAAATAGTCCGCGCACTTCCCAAAAGAAGTTGCCTCTCAGTCACATAGGAGTGCAGTGATACGTACAAAAGGGACGAGTCTGTGTGATAGCACGCATAGCAGAGCTGGATCTGCAAGGTTGAGTGTGTCAGGATAGCAATGCAATGCATTACAATTAACATCGCATAGCAGCATGGTATTAAAGCGCATTAAGCCAGATTTTGGTTAATATGTGATGCTTCGAGTTTGTACAACAAGATGGAGCTGCTTTGCTGAATTATATGTTACATTTGAAAGGATCGCAGAGAGACGTGTTGAGGAGAAGCATTTAGGAAACTGATTTAACACGTGGGATTACATCATATAACCATATGCAAGTGAAGAAGATTAATGAAATTCTGTCAAGGGGTCAGAGGTTCCAGTTTGACCGAAACCCGTGTAAAATAAATCGTCAAATCATGTGCTTCTCCAAAATGGCACATTTCGTATTAAGTGGTAAAGATAATGTTAGGATGCTGAATGACGGCCGCGAACTAGAGCATAATGAAATGCAGTTTGGGCTTCTGTTTTTTTAGAAAAGATTCACGTTTTTTCTTCGCAGAAGGGGTATTTAGACATTTTATCCTACCTCTATTGTTGATGTTTTTGGTAATGTTCAGGGGACAATGGTAAATATAAAAAAATAAGAGTTAAAAAGTCACTTATTTTACACATGACTCGTCAAAGACCTGTAATACACAATCTGCGAGAGGATACCCAAAGAAGGGATAAGGCAGGAGTTTGACAATTGGAAAGTCCTTAAACAGCCTAAACACAGAAACTAGTTTGAAAATACTTTAAGCATGGTATACAACCCTGCGGAGCATAATTGTACTCTACCTTTCACTCTAACGATACATAATGTATTTTAAAGTTATGGGTGTAACAGCAAACAATGATAATTTCAATTTAGTTTGAATATTTTTGTTATAAGCACTGCTTTAGCATCTGGAATGACAATGAAATTACAGAAGAAACGGAGCTGTAGGTATGTGCAAACACGACATTGAGGTTTGTGAATTAATAATAGTTTTAATTACAGCTACATCATACTAACCTCTCCATAAACTGAACACTTTAAATGAGTTTCTAAACTGACAGTGGAATTAGCTTTCCAATCCCGTTTTTAAGATGCAACCCAGTATTTGGACATGTGTGAAACCTGCATGATACATTAACTTTGATAAATGGCAACTAATTTCCAGTGCCACTTATATATTTATATATACTGTATATTTAACTTATATGAATATATTTTTCTGCTAGTAAAAAAAAAACTGAAACCTTAAAAATAGTCCCAAAAGGCACTTAATGGACTTTTGATTTTCATACAGGGTACAGGTTTTTGATTGAACAAAAATGCTGAGAATTGAATATAAAGGTCTTTCAGATTGCTTTCCCAATTCTACACCAAGAAATTTATTCCGAAAGGTCAAATACCATTTGGAATGCTACTTAATTATTGAAGAATGACATTGTAACTCATTTTCATTTAAAATAAAAATGATAATAAAACTGAAATTGCAGATTAGAATTTTATTCCTGCATAAAAATGTATATATTATAATGGTAGGTAGGTCCCTTTTCAGGCCATCAAGGCCTATGGGGGAATAGAGGTTGAGGGCCACCATTTTTCTTGACCATTTGACACTGGAAGTGGAGGTGATGTGGTCCACATCACACTCCAGGTGGCCTATTACCCCCAGAAGGATTGACCCCCCAGTACTGACTTGGAAAGCAGGCTGAGTAGACCTGGGAGCTGTCTGGAAGGAATCAGAGCAAGATACTGTATATCACTTGCCTCTACCTGGGATTGAACCCAGGACCTTCTAGTCAGAAGCTAGACACCCTTGCCATCTGAGCTACCACAACCCCTGTTAGAATGGTATTTACTATAAAATAACAGCATAACATATAGATTCTAAAATGGGTTCTGTACTGAGAATTGCGCAAATTGTTTAACCGTCAGTGATATGCTCTCCAAATACAGATAAAAGTTATATAGACAGAGCTTTGAGTCTTTTGGAGTTACGCTGTAGTTTGAAAACAACTCAAGACGAATTCAGCTAGATTAGAATAAAAACGAGCTCAAATCTGATGCCTCTGCATTTGTTGCCATGGAAACTACTGTAAGCCTAATGGCTACGGTATTGGTAAAAAAAGTAATAAGCCTTAAAAAATAAACATATCCTCTGTGATACAAAGAATTAGAAGAATAAGTACCTTATTTTTTCAACTAAATATAAAAAAGAAAAAAAAACTGCCTTTTGTCCAAGATCTCACCCAGAACTTGTGTAAAATGTGTTCCGAGCAATCCAATGCAGACCGTGCCCACCTGATTCTCACTTGAAAATGACCCTCAGTATTTGCTTCACAAGGGTGAATATCTGCAGTGCTTTTACAGGAAGCATATGCACCAGGCCCTAAGGTAACTATGTGGGTATTCTGCTGTTTCTCATACTGCGCATTATACACTTTGTTTAAGAAGCAAAGGTGGGTGGTGCACACCCACTAATGCCCTATGAAATCATGCTCGGGTCAAGCTATCAGAGATGTAACGTGCCAGTAATGACATTTTGATGCTTTTAGCAAATGTTGTCAATTTCCCTGCCCTATGCAGCGTGGGGATGATGAAGATGATAAATAATAATAAAAATAATGAGCCCTATAGGCTGCAGTCAAAACACTTTGGAAGCGATGAAGATTTTATCTTTTAAGTGAGATCAATATGTGGACCAATGTTTAAGTTCTGTGTTTTGCAATGTACATTTAAAAACATTTTGAAAGTTGTTCTTTACCAATTCCAGAACAGCTTAGCCTTTTGATATCATGTCAATAAAATCAAGATCACTTCAAAGAATAAGTGGACTTTCAACTAACACAAATAATAATTCAGTATCGTATTGTTATGTGTATTCTTAACCATAAAGTACAACACAAATACAGTAGCTTCATACATTTTAGAGGTGCAATGGCTAAGGATGTATCTTTGTAATGTGTAACTTTACAATGTCTACAGTATATGTACAAAAATAGTGTACTTAATTTGTTGTCCCATATGGGAAATTTGGTTTGCAGTCAGGTAAAAGACATAGCACAATACAGGATACATTTAACACAAAATGAACCCATTAACAAATAAAAGACATACACGTATGATAAGAAACAAAAAATTTCAGTATATACAAAAAAATAAAATGTACAGTCAAGTGTTGCAAAAGATTTAGATATTAATGGATTTCTTTACTGTGCTAGATACCGAGATCTAACTGAATGATTCTCCCTGGTTGTCATAGTGACTGTAGCGTGTTATGTGTGAAGTTTCTTAGTCTTGATACATTCTTCGCCACAGCCTTATACAGTGACAACAGTAAAATATTCTCTTTATTCATACATTATTATGTATGAATGTTAGGTTCTTTGGTGGTGTGTGATTAAACCGCAGGTGTTCGTTTTTAAATGCATTTCAGTAACCATTCTTACTTTAACTTAAACAGAGGTAAAGATTCATAACATTGGAAATCTCAGTCCCAGTCCAGTTTACATGTGATGATGGTGGTTAACTTTAAGATCCTTGGAATGATGCTTGTATTGAAAAGAGACTTTTTAGGGGTGCCTAAAATCCCTTAGAGTACCACACAGTTATGTCTGCTGTAGCTACAGTACCATCTGTCACTGATACTGAACTGGACAAACGAGCTGTGTTCAGGCAGATTACATGCATTCTTTTACTGTATCACTGCCTTGTCCAGAGTGCGGACAGAGCAATGTCCTTTATACCTGATACAGAGTTTATGTTCAAAACACATACACTTATTCTGATGTTCACAGAAGTTAGAAGTGTACATGTCAAAGCATTTTAGCTTCTCTATTGAAAATAGACTTGTGAGGGAGAGAGGTAGGATTATGTAACCCCTATGCAGCTAGTAACTGTACTCACTACAAATTTATCCTTATTCATATTTTGGTCTTTCTCTAGTATTTTTTAAAATGGTAATCACCATATGTTCTTTTTATCTTGAGGCACTTTTTAACAATTTTAATCCTTTCCAGGAGGCAATAGTTAACTGGTACAGTATCTTATATGATGACATTAGAGTGAATACTGGATTTACTTTTTGAACTGATTTCTTTTACAGCGTTAGCTGTTGTAATGTAAACTTTTTGTTGTACTTTAAAATTCAATTTTAAATTTAAAATCCTAGACTTTCTAGAATTAGTTCCTTCAACATATTCCAAACACAACACCAAAATTAGTCTTTATCTGAATGTTTCCTAAACAGCTAATACTACCTGAACCATACATAATTATGGTGGTGTTCTCTTTGAAAGCATTGTGAAATCTTTTGTTCTTTTTATAGACGTGAATGTTCAGTTTCCACAATTAAGTGCCTTAAGATGGGAGACAAAAACCTTGCAATTACAAACACAAACCTACCTTATACTCAAAATACAAAAAAAATTCAGATTTTCTCCAGCTGACAAATATGCTAAGAGCAATAAATTTAAACTTTATTAGACTTAGTAATGTTTCAATTGCAAGGGTCTTATCTTAACCCACAAAGACAAACTCGCCTGTGTTTGGAAAAGCAAGTGTTAGCTTTAAGAGGGGAGAAATGCAAATGGCTGCACCTTGGACAAATTAATGACTCAGTTATGCAGTTTGGATTTTACATATCCTAAAGGACAAACTAGATAAATCAAAATAAAATTGAACCTCTTGTGTGTGTTCTTAATGTAAAGAAAGAATGCTAAGAAAAAATCAGAAGGATGCAACTGTAAGCCTGTTTTCTCAG